ACCCGCCATCTTCGTCTTCGATCGAACCCCTTTTGGGGGGCATACCTTTCTTCCCTGCAGGCCGGGCCCCGGCAAGCGGCGGGGAGGCCGCGGACCGTCGGCCTGGCCAGCGGCAGCGCTGATCGGCGGGGCGGCCGCGGACCGTCGACCCGACCCCAAGACGGCCGCGGACCGTCGACCCGACCCCAAGAGGGACGGACAGGGGACCGACCACGACGACGACGACGACGACGACGACGACGACGTCGAAGACGACTCCGACGACGACGACGACGGCGACGACGAGCGAAAGCGAGAGCGAGAGAGAGCGACAGCAGGGCCACGAAGGGCACGAAGTAGGCCACGAAGGGCGACAGCGGGGACACGAAGGGAATGCATATGGGGCCACGCGAACGAGCGGGGGCCACGAAGGGCAGATAATGCGGGGCCACAGAAGGCAACTATGGGGCCACTGAGGGTAGCAACTGGGCCACGTAGGACAGTGAGGGGGACACAAATGGCGACAGCGGGGCCACGAAGCGCATGCACATGGGGCCACAACGGGCGCGACTCCTGGGTGCCTGGGTGTCGGGAGCGCGGCGCTTGGGCAAATTGCAGGAAATTCCAACGCAAGGCCATTCTTCAGTAATTTGCAAGCAAGCCTCCAGCGAGAGCGCGACTCCAGAGCGCGGGGAGAGCGATTCCTGAATAAATTGCAAGGAAGTCCCAAGCGAGAGCGCGATTCCTGAATAAAATGCGAGGAAGTCTCGGGCGGGAGCAGGCGCCCTGGCTAAATTGTAACGAGGTCTCGGGCGGGAGCCGTTGTTGTTGTAACCCGAGGGCCAGGGGCCCAGTTTGAGCATCAAGACTTTCCCTGTCAAAAAACAGGGTGCGAGCGTCGAGGGCACAGTTTGATTGAGAAAAAACAGTATGCACCGGTGGGGGGGATCAACAATAACTATTCTTCAGAAATGAGAACTCAACAACAACAACAACAACAACAACAACAACAACAACAACAACAACAACAACAGCAACAGCAACAACAACAACAACAACAACAACAACAACAACAACAACAACAAAACACGATGGACGGATTTGGGTTGTTTTCGGCCCCTGGGGGGCCCCCACCAGACCTGGGGGCCGTCAAAAAGAACTACTCGGGATGCAAAACCAGCCCTGGGGAAAGGCCCAGGCCTTCTGGGGGGCCCGCCTGGGTCCTGGGTGGAGTCGTGCAACCCATCCCTGTCCCCAATGGCATGGCCTTGGCCCCACTGGCCGCCTTCCCCGCTAGCTGGGTGGGGGGGGGTGCGTGCTGCTCCCCTCGGGCTTCGCAAGGCCTGTCCCCGCCTAGAGGGGGTGAGCCGTGGCGCCGGGATGGCATGGCCCCGTGGAGACTGACTGCCTCGTGGAGACTGACTGCCTGCCGGAACACCCCAGCCCAACCCGAAGACCCGAGTGTCGGGCTGCGGGGGGGCCAGCTCCATGTGCGTGAGTGCTTGCAGTGCTCCCCGACGCCCCCCCTCCCCGCTGGGAGTGGAGGGCAAGCCGGGGCCTCCGGGTTGGTGTTGGGGTGGCTCGGCGGGCGGTGGAAGTGGCAAGTCGATGCCGAGGCGTGGCCCTTCCCATGCCGCGCGGCTCTGGCCAGTCGGCCGAAGGCGCCAGTCACCGACACGGCCGCCCCTCGGCATCCAGCCACTGGAGGGACCGCAGGGTCAGCTGATCGCAAGACTGCGCGGAGGAGGGAATCGGAGGAGGCAATCGGAGGAGGATGGAGGCGGCTGGGACCTTGACACCAGCGAGGGCATCCAGGATCTTTGGAGACTCGTTCGAAAAGACCAGTGCGTGATCGTGTCATCGATTTCTCAAGCGTTCAGCGCAGCCACTGAGAGCAACTGGGGCCGAATGGACCCAGTGGCCCCAGAAGAGCAGGACCACGACAACGACGATCTCTTCATCATGCCTTCCCCCTCATCCCCCCATACCGCATCCCTGCTCCTCCTTCCTCGTCCAGCGCATCCAAGTCTTGGTCGACTTCGGCCCTTGTGGGGCCTCTGGAAGCCTCAGGAAGCCTCCAGAGACCTCCGGATGCATCCAGAGACCTCCAGAGACCTCCAGAGACATCCAGAGACATCCTTCTCCTCCTCCTCCTCCTCCTCCTCCTCCTCCTCCTCCTCCTCCTCCTCCTCCTTGTCCTCCTCGTCATCGTCTGCCTCATCCCTCCCATATCTTCACTTCTCCTCGCCCGTCCCCCCCTCATCCTCGCCCTGGGTATGATGAAGGTGTCGACGAGCAGACAATTAACATATATCAACAGACTTCGTGACACTCCATCTACTACTTTCATCTCCTAGCGAATTGGCCTGCAGGCTGTGTAGGGTGGATCACCTGGCTTATCGGCCACACTGGTCGTTCTGGAAAGTTGCGCCCGTTAGTTACGAAAAAAAGCTCCCCTCCTCGTCCGCCCCTCCCCTCCCCCGTTCCTCGCGAAGATCTCCCCCCTCCTCGTCCCCCCTCCTCGTCCGCCCCTCCCCTCCCCCCCTCTCCCGCGTTCCTCCACCGCCCCCCTCCTCGCTCCTCCGCCCGTTCCGATCTCCCCCCTCCCCTCCCGAAGATGCCCTTCGAAACGCCGCCCCTCTCCCTGGACCCCCGACGCCACAATCTTC